TTTTAATTGTGATTTGGGTGAAAGTTTACAGAGCAAATTCACTTTCTATACAGCAGTTCACATACACTTTGTCTCATGACATTGACTATAATTTCCCACAATGCAACAGCTCCCCTTCCACTTCCTCCCCATAGTTACCTCTTCCCTGTGCCCTTCCCTCCATGCACTCCTTCATCTCTTATCTTTTGTCTCAGTTCTTTGGAAACTTCCAAAACCCTAACACTTCATCTTTTTTTATCCTTAGGTATCTCTAAAAATGTGATTATAGGAATTGGTTTTACACATTTTCCGTTCTCCACCATGGTCTTTACTCTGAAAGAACTCCTGTTCTAGAGAGAAGGCATTATGCTAATCCAGAACCCTTCAGTTTAGGGTTGGGGTGCAGTTGTTTGAGGAACAGAGCGAGTGAGTAGTGACAGTCAAGGAGAGGTTGTATACAGGTGCTGAATAATGGGGAAACAAGTTAGCCTGTTCAGCCGTAGGCCCAGAATCCCTTGATTATGGTGGCTGTTTGAGGCTCATCTGTCACTCTCCAGCCTCATTTCCCAACACTTCTACTAGTCACACTGAATTACATTCTTTTTTATTCTCTGCGTATGCTTGGAATGAATGTTCTTCATCTCTCTTCTGTACCTAGTCTAACCCTCCTCCTCTGTGAAGCCTTCTCTTAAGCTTCGCCTTGGAGCCCATTCAGTGGTTCCTTCCTTCCATTATATTTCCAAAGCGGTTCATACGCTGCCTTTGCTAGCATTTGTTACAGACTACTATCTCTTTTACAGATTTCTTAGTTCTTTGAGACTGGAAGCTGTGTCTTGTTTATCTTTGAACCCTCAGAATTGTTCATAGGTTTCCTTAAACTATTCCTGAAGGAAGGAAGAGGAAGTGGCTAAAGAGATGAAGGCTTTTTGAGAGGTATGATGAGAGCCTGCTTTTAGGACAGAAAGTTAAAGTAACAAAATGTTTCTTATGAGAAACTGGTTGTAATTAACATAATTAATTACTATTAAGATTGTGGGCCCTGGAGTCAGACTGCCCAGGCTCAGAGCCCTGAATGAAGCTGTGCTTCTTTCAGCAAGAAACTTAACTTCTCAGAGCCTCAGTTTTCTTGGAGGATTATGGAAATAATATGTACCTCATAACATTGATGAAAAGGTTAAATAATAAAATTCAATAGGGTGGATAGCACAATGTTGCCCCTGAGTAAGTGTTCAGTTATAATTAGATCTATATGTATAGAGAAAGACAAAGAAGGAATAATCAAGAAGTTAATCCCAGTCTGAAAATGTCCAGCCTTACTCCATTATATAGCTCTGGCATTAGGAGCTAAATGCTGCCTGGTCCCCAGCAGCACAAAAAGAGAATACTCCTGACTCTTGGCCCCCCATCTGGCCCTCAAAACATTTTCAAAGCCTAGGTCAGTACCTGATGCCTCTCCCCAATTCTTCCCTTAGCATTGGCCACCCTTTTAGCCTTGTCCTAAATGCTTGAGGCAAGGTGGTTTGAGCTTTATCCTCCTTTCTCCTAGGATCTCAAGGCAAGTGGCAGCAGCCAGAAGATGTTGCAGTGGCTGGCAACAAAGGTGTCGAAAAAGGAGGATTCTAAAACAGCCCAAAAGGAAGAGTCATGTGTGCCTCAGTGGTCCAGCCAGTTCCTACAGAAGAGCCCACTCCCCACCAAGAGAGGCAGTGCAGGACTCCTGGAGCGATGGCTGAAACAGGAGAAAGAAGAGGGGCCCCTGGCCAAGAGGCCTCACTGCCAGTAAATAGCACAGGACTTCAGAGACCAAGGCCAGTTTGCTACACTCTGTACTGCTGCTGCTAACAGTTTCTTGAACCACGTCCGTGTGGGAGCTGGAGGTTGGAGCAGGACAGATAGGGGAGAGGATATTTGCTTTGTTATTTCTGACATGAGGGAGGAGGTGGCACAGTTTTAATTGACTGTAACTAGGAACAATGGAAAAATGCCCACTACTCCTGAAAGGATGAGGAGAGGCCATTGCCATCACCAGCCTCTAAGGGTCCAGGCGCAGCAGGGCACTATGCCTGGGTAGACGTTTCCTGGTAGAGCTAAAAGACCCTTCCCTTGAGGCCTGACCCCGCTGGGCACTAGTAGCCCTGGCCTGGTACCTCCAACAGTAGGCTCTTTGCTATTCAGCCTTTAGATTCTTTCTATATATTAGAATTAAGTTCTTAAAATAAGTTTTTGGGTTTCCCCCAGACACACTGTCTAAATTACATTTGATCATCTGTATTTTGGAAAATGATGCTAGGATACAGAGGGAGTTCTGGATTTTATCCAGTTTTTTCCTGGTATCAGTTCTAAGGAATTGGTTTTGTCACAAACAAAGGGAGCACTGGGCTTTTTTTGGATAAAACTGCTTTTTTGGAAATAATAAAAAGGTTTGGTTGGGGGCACCTGTTGAATGTCTTTGCATGTAATACTTCAAAGTCTGAGTCCTTTAGCTTAAAACCAACTTAAGTGAGTACCTGCTAACATCAGTAGGGGCTTGAGGAGAACTGGGTGCAGAGACTCTGGCCAAGATCTCCTTAACACAGCCTGGGATCTGGGTGCAGGGAAGTCCTCATCTGAGCCCACTTAGCCCTATTCAGAGATACCAACCCAGGACAGAGCGCTGCATGGAAGATGTGTGAATTTAGTGTGGGACTGGGGGCTTCAATCTGAAGACCTAGAATGAGGCTGCCTGGCAGGACTCCCATCTGCCCCAGCCTGGGTCAGAGCCCCTGTGATGTGCTCTGCAGGCTAAATCACTAATTAGGTTATCATTTTGGTGGTTATGTATTTGCCCATGTCCTCACCCAAACTATTAATTCCATGACACCAGGGACCACTTTTTCTACATTACTGTCTTCCCAGAGGAGCTCTGGTGGCATAGTGGATAAACCATTCAGCCCTTAACCAAAAGGTGGGCAGTTTGAACCCACCAGCATCAGTCTGCTTCCATAAAGATTTACAGCCTTGGAAACGCTATGGGGCAGTTCTTTGCCCTAAAGAGTTGCTATGAGTTGGAATCAACTCAGTGGCAATGGATTTGGTTTTTTTTTTTTTTTTTTGGTCTGTTTTCTTTTGTCTTACCAATGTCATTAATAGTAGGTGTGCACATTTTTGTTAAATGAGCATACTGAGCCCTGTACTACAGTGGGGGAAGGACAGGCATTAATCAGATACCACACCTTGCAGTTAAGTACTTGTCTTGTGTACTAAAGGTAAAAAATAAGATGTGAAGAATGGAGGGGTTGACACTTCTAGTAAGATGGCAGAATAGGCAGACAAGCTACACAGACCCTCTCCAACAAAGAAAAGAGAAACCAATTGACAGAGACACAGAAGATAATCCTGGAGCCCTGAGCTTTGAAAGGAACTATACAGAAGTGGATTGGGCACCAACTAGTGGAAAACCTGAATGAAAACAGGACCTAAGAATAGGCTCCATTTGCCAAGGACAGCAGGAAGGCTGACAACAGAAAAGGAGACAGGTGGTGAGAGTATAAGTGCTGCCAACTAGCAAATAGAGGTGCACAGTACCCTACTTACATAGATAACATCTAAACAAAACAAAACAAGCATCGTGGGCAAGTCACTTCAACATACAATCACCAATTAAATATAAACACAAAAACATATCACAATGTCTTGGAGACAACAGAGCATCACAGTCCACACGAAGAAGCAAGATAAAGCAGGAGAAACAGGGGACCAGGATACAGACCCAGAACACATCCACGAGGAAGAAGCAGCATTGGAACTCTCTGATAAGGAATTCAAAAGAATTATATTTAGGTACCTTCATTGAATTGATCAAGGAAAACACTGACAAAATTGAGGAAAACACAGAAAAAAACCCTAAAACAATTTTGGAAGACAATATAAGAACAAAATGACAAAATAAATGAAAAATTAGAAATGATACAACTTCTACAGATAGAAATCCAGAAGATTTAATACTAAATTCTCAGAAATAACACATTGAATGGGCAAAGGAACAGAATTCAATCAACAGAAGACAGAATTAGTGAGATTGAAGAGAAATACCTCAATACTTCTTTGGAAATGGATCAATCAAAAAAAAAAAGAAAAAGATAAAATGAAGAAACCCAGATTCATGTGGGGTACCATCAAAAGAAATAACCTACATGTAATTGGAATTCCAGAACAGGAAAAGACAAAACCACAGAGCAAATTGTCAAAGATTTGTTGGAAGAGAATTTCCATAATATGATGAAAGATGAGAATATATCCATTCAAGAAGTCCAATAGGCCCCAAAAGAAAATCACCATGACATATCATCATCAAACTCACCAAATCCAAAGACAAAGAATCATGAGAGCAGCACGGGAAAAACGAAAAGTTACCTACAAGGGGCAACCAGTAAGACTAAGCTCGAATTTCTCAGAAGAAACCATGCAGGCGAGAAGACAATGGTGTGGTATATATAAAACTCTGAAAGAAAATAATTTCCAACCAAGAATTATATACCTAGCAAAATTGTCCCTCAAATATGATGGTGAAATCAGGACATTTCCAGAGAAGCAGAAATTAAGGGAATTTATTAAAACCAGACCAGCCTTACAAGAGATGCTACAGGGAGTCCTTTGGACAGAGAACCAACAATAGGAAACACAACCAACCATTAACACACATGATGACATAACCCAGCAACCAACCCAGTGATGGAAGTATCCAAAGTAAATAAGCCTAAAGATTGTAAGCAGAGAACCAGAGACATCGAGTGACAAATGAGGACAATTACAAACCAGAAAGGGGGGGGGGGATGTGTATTTACAGAACTTCTAAATGGTAGGGAAGTCAAGACAACTGCAAGATAGAACAGACTGTTCTAAACTTGGGAAGAAAAATATAAATCACAAGGTAACCTCAAAGAAAAATTATATACCTTCACATCAGAATAAAAAAGAGGACCAGTACAGGTATTTAGCAAATACTAAAACAGTAGCAATGAAGGAAGTGACAACACAATTCATAAACAAAAGGACCTTAGCACAGATAATTATATGGAACAGAGAAATCAGGAACACCATGAAAAAGATAATAACAAAATGACAGCAACAAATGCAAACTTGATAATTATACTGAATGTCAGTGGATTAAATGCACCACTCAAAAGATGGAGAGTTGCAGACTGGACAAGAAAACATAACCTATCAATATGCTGTCTATGAGAGACACACCTTAGAGAGAAAAATAGACTAAAAATGAAAGGTTGGAAAAAGATACATGGAGCAAATGGTAACCATAAAAGAGCACTGTTTACAATACCAAAAAGATGGAAACAATCTAGGTGCCCATCAGCAGTAGAATGGATAACCAAAGTATGGTACATATACACAATGGAATACTATGCAACACAAAAGAATAACGTAGAATCTGTAAACGGCATAACATGGATGAACTTGGAGGACATTGAGCTGACTAAAGTAAGTCAATCACAGGACAAATATCAGTTCATTATTGTAAAAAAGTCAAGGAAAGATTTATATATGAAAGGAAACTTCGTTGGATGGGGGCGAGGAACACTGCAGGAAAAAAGCACTGACTCATGACAGTTTTGTGTATTTTGCTGTATGTAAATTATATTTCATTAAGATTTTTAAAAATCTATATGGGATCAAATTGACAACAGCAACTGGAAAGACGAGATAGGAACTTTAGGGGCAATGAATTTATGTTAATTGGGAAAGAACTCAGAAAAGAAGGGTGAGAATGGTTGCACAACTTGAATGTAGTCAATATAACTGAATTGTAAAAATGTGTTGAATTGGTGTATGTTTTGCTATGTATATTTTCAACAATACAACAAAATAAAATGAAACAAAGAAGTGGAGGGGTTGCTGTGGGTTGGGTACTCTGACAAGGACGCTTTTGTAAACTCAGAGGGAAAGAGAGGCTGCGTGGAGCGAGCTTAGGGGCGGTGCTGTGACCGCAAAAGGCGGTCCAGGACCTTCCAAGTATTCAGGTTTGGGAAGGGGTAGAACAATCTCAAGGAACGCCAGGGCTAGGCCTGCACCTTTCTCTTTGGGGTGTCCAGGACGGAAGAAACCGCAACACAGTGTCCTGGAAAATAGGAAGAAAGCGAGCACTGAGGTGATCGTGGAGGAAACAGCGGTAGTCCGCACCAGAGCGCGGCTCCAACAGGGTGCAGGGCCGCTTCTTAAGAACATTCGTGCACCGCAGCTGCGCAAACCCGTCTTGCTGTTCGGGCGCCGGCGCAGACTGAGGCCCTATGCAAATTAGGGATCGGAATTTCCGCCAATCAGAGGGAAGATCAGAGCCTGAGCTTCTAATGGAGGGTGAACGGCCCTTGTCGCGGCACGCCCCAGTCGACCTCGTTGGGCGGGGTACCGGGGGACGCATGGCCAGCAGAGAATCCCCCGACCCAGGCCAGCTACCACTTCCTGCTCCCTCGGCCTTTTTTTTTTTTCTTTAATAATTTATTTTTGAGCTCCCTCCTTTCCGGCTTAGGAAGCGGGGTTGACATGTAGGGGTTTACTCAGTCTCCAGTTCACTGGGAAGAGTGGGATGCTTTATCTCATACCAAACCAAACTCACTGCAGTCGAGTCAGAGTCATAGTGACCCCTCCTTGGGTTTCCCAGGCTGTATCACTATGGAAGTAGATTGCCCAACCTTCCTTCCCAGAAGTGGCTGGTGGGTTTGTACCACCAGGCTTCTGGTTAGCAGTAAAATGCCTTAGGCACTATGCCACCAGAGTTCCCACTCTGGTTTTGTTGTGGGTTATTTGTGTGGGAGTTTGGTTGTTTTATTAAGAGTTTCTGAAAATACAATAATAGAATTTTGA